CGGTTCCCCCGCGCCCCGCACCCCCCTCAGAGCTCCCGAGTTAGAACCGCCCTACTATACCTATTAATACCACTGCCAGATTAGACTTCCAAAACCATAGCAGAAGCTTTTGTAGATAGATTCATTTGCGTATTAGGAGCACCAAAGGCCATACTAACCGATCAAGGAAGAAATTTTATTAGCGATTTAATGAAAAATGTTGCAAAAATTTTCAGAATACGCAAATTCCGCACAACCGCTTTCCATCCGCAATCAAATGGATCATTAGAAAGATCGCATCACGCTTTGGGCGAATACTTGAAACAATATGCAAATTCGCAAAAACAATGGGATAGATGGATCAGCCTTGCGATGTTCAATTACAATACTAAAATGAAGCGACGAAACACACTCCTTACGAATTGATATTCGGCAAAATAGCTCGAATACCTTCGAACGAACCTTTAGCACCGAATGAAAAATTATCTAACTACAATGATTATCTAATAGATCTTGTCACACAACTCCATTCCATACAAACAAAAGCTCGCGAGAACGTCGTTGAATCTAAAGAAAAATCAAAGAAACATTACGACAAGAAAATTAATCCGCAGACCTTTAAGCCTGGAGATCAAGTATTTCTACTAAAAGGGTCGAAACCCGGTAAATTCGGAGACCAATATACAGGCCCACACGAAGTTCTGGAAATATTAAACAGAAATAATATTAAAATAAGAATAAAGAAAAATAGTCGCATTGTTCATCCCAACCGCTTGCGAATTTCTCATATTAACCCAGCTCACAGTAATTAAATAAGCAACTAAATTAGCCAAATCGGTATTTCAGATGGATTGCCGCATCAGAGAAATAACTGCCATAATAATTTTAATAATATCAACGCCAGAAACTCATGGAATAATAGGCTACGATTGTGGATCAGCAGCCGCTAATTTAACTACATTGTCGCTAGTAAACGTTGAAGAATGCGACGTACCAATCCAGCAAGTAAATTCCACCAAAATCTATGTCCAACTACTCCAGCTTAATGATTTTAATTCTACTAATTCGGTAAAAGTAATACAATGTAAAGTCGAAATAGACCGTACAGTAAAGAAGTGTGGAATGTTTTCGCATACCTTGGATGTATACAACGGACAATTTTCATACATAGCCGACATAACGCGAGATGCATGCAGACACATGCACACCTATGGAGCCTTCGAAATAGCTGGAACTCGTATATTAGGATTAAAATCTAATCAGACTGCCTCGCGATCAGTAGTTTTAGCCGGTCACGTTGACAATGACGGCGGATGCTCCGGCAGCGCTTATTCCGACCCGTATGGAACTTGGGGAAATGTCATTGTGTTAGGCAGCCTCAAAATAACCTTATAAGATTATGTCGCCGAAGTACGAATAAATACTAATCGCGTGCACCTCCGATCAGGAGTAAGCTGCGAATTAAGCTCTACTTATTGTACAGATATAGAGGGAGGAGATACCTTTTGGGATCCCTTGCCTGTCGATAATTGCAAACTTACCGACTACGACGTGTTGTACAATGGATACGCTAACAAAATACTCGATTTAACAAACGAACGATCACAGACAGTTCATTCCATCAATACGCCAAGCATGATTTTTTCTTTAACCAGCACTGGAACATATAATGCCTGTGGATACACTCTTATCAGGACCGAGCATCCAAAATTAATAATTTTCGAAACGTCGCTCGGTAGCGAAGTTTTCAAAAGCTCCGGGTTTATCGCACTAAACATAGATTTGTTTTCGTATGTAAACTCGAAATTCGTGTACGTAGAAAGACACATCCGTACTCAGATTAATCAATTGTATCGCAATATATTATTACAACAATGCCAAATTGAATACCGAACGATGCAGAACGCGCTAGCTATAGCCGCTAGATCACCTGATATCTTCGCATACCACTTTATGAAAGGACCAGGATACATGGCACTATTGGCCGGAGAAGTGATACACATGGTAAAATGTGTGCCGGTCGAAGTAAAATTAGCACGGACTGATGAATGCTATGAACAACTTCCTGTGTTACGGGGAAACGATACGTATTTTTTGACCCCTTAAACTCACAAACTGGTACGCCACGGGACACAGATTACCTGTAATTCTTTTGCCATGTATCTTTTGGGAAACTCATGGTATAAAATTATGCCAAAACCAGTCGAAACAGTACCGCCCACCATCATGCAACCAGCAACCAAACCATCGTGGAAATACGTCAGCCCTGGCGCACTGGCGACCAGCGGAATATATTCACAATCCGACTTGGAAGAACTTAAAGACCACATAATGTTCCCCGCAGAGCGGCCTGCAATTCTTAACACTGTAGCGAGAGGTATATTAGAGCAAACAACGGTACTTAATGAAAGATCTCTCTCAAACCTCGACGAAGCATCAATAGAAAAAATTGCAATGTCCACATGGACAAAATTTTGGAACAAATTTACAATATTTGGCGATATTAGTGCTGGACTAATAGGAATATACTTGATCGGCAGACTCATCAAATTATTTCTTGACACATTCGTGCACGGATACGCCTTACACACAGTATACGGATGGTCTGTGTATTTAATAGGAGCCATATGGGACTCGCTTACCCAACTCTTATTACACTTAGGAAAAGATAGGCCAAAACACGGAAAGCCCAGCGCTCCCGATGCACCCGAGAACGATGACCCCGAAAACGGAGATACATTGACCCTCACAGAAATGAAGACAGAACGAACCTATCCCCCCCTCCCCACCGTGGAGACAACGGCTTATTCTTTGGAGCTAAGGAGCTGAACCACTTGTTTATCTGTCTACACTAACGCATAACCATATGATACGATATGTTAGTCCGCATGTTACGCCATGCAGAAATAATCATTTAACCGCATGATTCACCATGCAGATATATCACCTTGCTATTTTAAATCTCTAGTAAAAAAAAATAAGAAAAAAAAGGAAAAAATATATATATAAGTACATACAGGGTGTTTCCAAATTAAATGGCAAAACTTGGGGAGCGTGTAGAGGAGTTAAAAACTAAGAAAAAAAGTCCTATAGACATATGTTCGTTTTTGCTTTGTTTCTCAGGAAATCACGGAAAAAGAAAAAAATATAATTTAATTTATTATTTTAATTATTTTATTTACAAACTTTTTAATGAAGATTTTGTTCGAAATGTGCACCTCTTGCAGCAATACAAGCAT